ACTAAGGATGTTAAGCCAATATTCTGCCTGGTGAGCTTGTAGTTTGGTGGGACAGCTTGACATAAACAAATTATTGCCAAAATAAATTATAGTACATTGACAGGCATGAATCCAGGCCTGTGGCAATAGAGAGGAAGGTGATAGAAGGCAGGGAGGACTTCCCAGAGGAGGTGACATTTGAGGATGTCCTTTAAGGCTGGCTAAGGGCTTATAGAAGCTACAGTGACTATTCTCATTGGGAGAGGAGGGATAAACAAATGGAGTCCTTTGGCATACAGAGACTCAGACTTGTGTCTCTTGGCCAGGGTAGCTTTTTTTGGTTTTGGTTTTGTTTTGGTGTTTTAGTTACTTTTCTCATTGCTGAGACAAAATACCTGACAATCAAAGTTAAAGGAGGAAAGGTTTATTTAGCTCACAGTTTGTAGAAGTTTCAGTCTGCTATGGTTGGTGTCTAGATGCTCCCCCAAAAGCCTCACTTGGTCATAGGGTTTTTTGGAGGTAGCTGAATCTAGAGTGCATGATTGATTCATAGTGCAATGTGGGGATTAAGGATACTAAGATTAAGTGTGTGAGTGCTACAACTGCCCTAGGGTGGTAGCCTGCCTACAATATAAGGGACAGAAGGAGGCTTTTCTCCTTTTTGCTGTCTTCCACTGGAGTGAATTGTTGTCCCTCTGCCATGTACCACCCTGCTTGGAGCCAGTCGATTGTGGACTGAAACCTTTAGAAACTGTGAGCTGAATAAATCTTTTCCCCTTCAACTTTGGGTGTTAGTTATTTTTGTCTCAGCAATGAGAGAAAAGTAACTAAGACATAGTCCATAATTGCTGGTTCCAAAGCAGGGTGGCATGGTAGACAGGCATTGCAGAGGAGAAACAGTTCATGGTGGGAACAAGGTAGCAAAGCAAACAAGAGAGGAACACAGCTCTTTACCTTATATCTTATGTCTATATCCTGTTTTTAAAATTTTTAAAACAAATTTTTATTATTTTATTTTTTTGTGGTTTTTTTTGAGACAGGGTCTCCCTATGCAGTTCAGTGAACTCTAATTTTTTTTTTTTTTTTTTTTTTTCTGGTACCGGGAATCGAACTGATGACCTTGTGCTTGCCAGGCAGGCACTGTGCTGCTGAGCTAAATCCCCAGCCCTTATGTCTATATCCTTATAGCTATGTCTTAGGGTGGGTAGCACTCAGACCCTTAGTCCTAGTGCCCTTGATCCTAGTATTGCACCATGAATCAATCCTAGTGTCACACACTCTAGATCCAGCCACCTCTGAAAAAAGCCCTACGTATGACTGCTTAGGCTTTGGGAAGACGTCTAAACACAAGCCATAACATCTGGGTTTTTTTCCAAGGGCCTTGTCAGAAAGGTCCATGAGTTGGGATTAAGCTCTGGTGGCTGGGGTAGGGTAATATTACGGTTTATATCTAGATGTCTCCCTAAAACCTCCTGAGATCATAGATGCAGCCTTTGGAAGGTGATCAGATTATGGGGCTCATAGCTGACTTGCTGTTAGGAGGTGGGGCCTGGTGAAAAGAGCTGGGTCATTGTGGGAATGACCCAGAAAGTCATATTTCCCTTCTTGGCTCCTCCCTTAACTGTGGAGGACCACCAGGATGACTCTTCTTGAAAGAAGAGCAATTGTCTCCATTTTTGCTAAACCTAGCCCTATTTCCGTGTATTGATATATGCAAAACTGGCTCAGTTTTGTCATTATTCCCTCAGTTGGCTTTAAGCAATGCAAATGAGTCTAGCAAGGTGCTGAGGTGTAGTCTTTAAAGCAATGTGACAGGTGTAGTCTTTAAAGCAATGTCCTGCCTGTAGCTCCCAAGTAGAGTGTGTGAGCTAGGCCAAAAGGCGCCACACTGTCAGCTGAGAATGAGCCTTGAGAAAAGAGGCTATGACTCCTCAGGGCAGGAAAATTACACATCAAAACTGACACACCAAGACCAAAACACTAGACACTGCCCTGGTCTATCATATGCAGATTACTCTTTCTGCATCTCTCTCTCCACATATTGCAGAGGTGATTTCAGACCTCCTACCTAGCTCAGCTCATAGCACTCACATACTTCCCACCACTCTCATAGTCACTCATCTCTGAGCAACTTCCTTCTTCACGAATTAATAAAAGCTGGGTTTTGCCCTTGGGTTGAGGCCTTTGTTCTGGTTAGCTATTATTCAGATTGGACTTAGGATTCCTTTGGCTCCCCACAACTACAAATGTGCCTTAGAGTCTTTATTCTCACCATGTGTTGTACTGGACGTGGTAGATTGTAATTAACTTATTAGAATTCCAATAATTTTTCCATGGGATTAAAAATGTGAACTTTTTCTGGACCACAACAAGGTCCAGAGGGCTTTCTATACCTTGACTCACTTTGCTTCCTATTCGCCGTGCCCCTCTGCCGTGCTGTCCTGCCTTGGAACCAGCAGACTATGGATGAACATGAGCCAAAATACTTCTCCTTCCTAAAGTTGTGGATTTTGGGTATTTTGACCCAGTGATGAGAAAAGTGATGAAGACAAGGAAGATGCCCCTGGATAGCAAACTCCTCCACTGGGGTGTCAGTGTCCACAGCTCTTCTCCCGCTGAGTGCTCCTGGGCAAGGATGAAGGAAGGGAGAAGGGAGTCAGGAAGCTCAGATGCTCATCTTAGCCCTGCCATTAATTGGGAGAGAGATTTCTCTTAGAGCCCTCATGCCCTTGTGGGTAGAAGGGAGCTGATGGCATCTACCCTCAAGGCATTCTTGGAAGAATCATTTGGGGTAAGAGAATGAATAGAGTGATAAAGAAAGCAGCACAGCTCTGAGGTGTTTTCAGTGCTGGGACCAAGAACGTGAGAAGGATTAAGGTGACTCTTACCCTTGTCCTAAGGAAGCCAGCCTTATCTGTGTTCTTTCTCCCAGGCCACAGAGGCCCCAGCAATGCTGACGGCTTGAGTACCCTACCTCTACCACAGTTCTTCTAGCTTTGGGTGTCAACAGGGCAATCCAGAGCCTCCTTGGGAGCCTCAAAGTGTTCCAAAGGGGAGGGAGTCTAGTGTACTGTGCATGCTGCCCCAGCCTGTTGTTCTAGTCCCCAAATTATTTATTTTCTCTCATCCATTTTAAGTTTCAGGAAGCCCAGCCAAGGGCTGCAGAGAGGCAGTCTTTCTGCTGGGCTGAAATCCACAGATGAGTGAATGTCTCACTGATATATTTGAAGGTGGAAGTGGATGTGTTAGGAGCGTGACCTCCTTCCTACCACCCTCACTGCCAGCCACAGTACCTCTTTTTATGGTTTACTGAGAGATGGAAAGCACCAGCCCAAGCTCCTCCACCACCTCCTGTTCCCTGGCCCCATGTTAGCCTAAACATCTGAATGGAAGGCGGATTGATTATGCATCTGGATCCCTTTCCTGAGGTCGTGGCAGGTCTCTGTCTTGGTGAGCTGGTTTATATCCAGCAGCAGAAGAGAATGTTTACCAAGACGGGGACCCCATCCTAAACCAACTGAATAAAGGTCTGTGGGTGGAGCTCAAGCATCTTTTTTCTAAAAAGCTGCCTGGGTGGTTTTGATGCATAGCGAGAGCTGAGAACTGCTGGGCTGGAGAAGATTTATCTTCTGGGCATTGTCTCTCCGAGGCTGGTTCCCTCAGCCTATGTGCAAGGCTTGCAGGAGCCAAATCCCCCTCTGATTTTCATCAAAAGAAAAACCGGATGGGCTGATTGCCCGTGTGTCTGAGTCAGAGGCCAAGAGGAAGACACAGCTGAAGCTTTGGGGAGGGGAAAAAGAGAGGCCTAAAGTCTGAGAGGGCGCAGAAGGAGTCAGCTGTGGGCGACTTGGTATGGAGGAAAATTGAGAGCTGCTCTGTACTCTCCTCCCATTGCTTTGTGCTTGATTGTCTGCTGAGAAGATTTATTTCTGGTAATGTGTTGACCTTCCATGCTTCCAGCTGACAAGAGCACAGTTAAGGGTAACATTTGGGGAGTTACCCTTTGGAATTCTGGCTCTCACATGGAGTGCCCTGCTGCACTGCAGATTAACACCGTTTGTGCTGAGATTCTGTTGTCACGGAGGTTCTCTAAGTGCTGGACTCAGGGTAAAAGGGCAGAGATGGAGTCAGAATGAGCCGTGAAGCCCATTGGAAAGCCACAGGGATGTGGGGACTACCACACTGAGAGCGGAATTGAAATTTGGGGGGGAAAGAATTGGACAATTCGGATGAAGGGCCAGACTTCCGGCACATTAAGTAAGAGGGGGAAAAGAGTTCTACAAAAATCCCGCCATGAAATTATCAACTGGAAAACTTAAAAAATGTTGCCTCAGGCCGGGCCCACTGATAGAATGCTTACCTTGGGTGTGCTAACAACAACAATGTAGTAACCTCAATGGACATCTAATTTCCTAAGATGCCTTCTAAACTTTTTATTTTATTTTATTTTACTTTATTTTATTTATTTTAGCAGAATAAGCCAGGGCAGATACATAGTAACTCATGCCTGGCCTTTGCCCTGCAGGATCCTCTGAGATTGGACCCCCCAGGGGCACGGCTGCTGGTGTAGGACTGGGTTTTGGAAATCAGCTCAGGAATTGCTATGCTAACTACCAGCTAGTTGGAGCCAGCGATCCTTCTGGAAAGTGGAGATGGGTGTGAGGAATATGCTGCTGAGAGTAAGAGGAAAAGCTTGAGTCACGGTAGAGTCTGCACAGAAATGGCACAGGGAGGCCAGACTGTGTGTAGGGGGAGGCTGCTGTTTATGACACTCAAATAGCTGACTAATGCACTCCTCGCAAGAGAGCTGCTCACAGAGCAGAGCCATACAGACTGTCGTGTCTGCAGCGCTGGCTCCCTGCCCGGGCAAGAGCATGTGGTGGCGTGGGAGGAATCGGTCTCCCTCATTCAGCATCTTACCTTGGCCTGTTATATAAGAACCCCAGCCCTTTGGAAATGTTGGTAAGTGTTGCTTTCACTCTTCCCTCCAAGCAGGCTGATGAGCTGGGAACAGGGACCTGCTCAGAGTGGCTTGGGCATACTTCCTTACTCTCCTGCCTACAAGGAGCCTGCAGAATCCTTTCCTCTTCCTTGGGGACAAAGTCTGCCACTGCACAAGAAACACCTGCAGTTCTAAGTGCTGGAAGCCCAGCGATGGCTCTAGATTCTCGCTATGCCTGCCAACCCAGCCTTCTCAGCAACGTGGCCACCTGCACTGTCTGCTCCCATAGCAAGAGCTGCTGTGTGACTCGGGGAGCACAGAGTGGCCCAGCTGCGCTGGGGCGTGAGAGTGCTGCAGGACAAGGAGGTGGCATTAGGGAAGTGCTGGAGGCACCCAGAAAACAGAAGTTAGCAGGTGAGGCTGAAGGGTGCTGCAGGCCAACCCTGGGTGGGGGGTACTTGGATGTCAAGCTAAATTTGAACTTTACTGGGGACAGACATATGGGGAGCCACTCAAGTTGGCTTATGGCAAAATAGAATTGAATGAATCTAGAAACTTGGCCACTGACTAGAAGAGTGAGGCACTAAGACCAGCGTGTGAGATGTAGTTGTGTGGGACACGTAGATGGCATTCTGAGAAGCTGGGAACAAAAAAAGGAATTAGGTAGGGTGGGAAAAACGTAATGACCTTGTTGCCAGACTTTCGAGCCCTGAGCAAGTGAAGGAAAATCAGAAAGCAGGATCTGGCGGAGGCCTCAAAGAGGGAGGCTGGAGGTGCTGCAGGAAATGAGGGGCCTGGGATTTGGATATAAGAGCTGTTGCTGCGTAAGTGCGAAGGAGGGAGGGAGGGAATGTCAGCTGGATAAGCACAAATGGGAGCCCACAGTGGGCTTAGGGGCAGGCAGGGAATGGTTTGAGGGGCAGGAAACCAGAATGTAACCCCCCACTGTTGCCAAGATCAAGGATGGAGACCTTGTTGCTTAAAGAGAGTTCGGTACTCTGAATTGAATTTAAGAACTCAGAATTAATGCCACTTAGAAATCAGAGGGTGAGAACTGAAGGTAGCTCTCAGAGGTGGTCACAGGGCAGCCCTCAGTGGCTAAGGCCATATTAATATCTGAGTTGGGTAGGAGCCAGATTGCAGGGGCTTGAGGGACCATCAGGTGGTAAGGGCATTGGTGGGCCAGGGCAAACCCTCTCTGAGGTTGGGAAAGTGGGGCTAGAGGAGCAGTGGTCTGAGTTCACGGGAGACACAGATATGTTTGGGGGAAGGGTCTGGAAGTGGGAGGATGGGGAGCAGGACTGGGGGATTGTGTAGCTCATGGTCTCCTCCCTGGAATTCCTCATGGAAAACTAATGTTTTCCTTCCTTCTGGCAGGGCGTGGGCTGCAGGCTAAGGTCGGCAGTGGTGGAGACAGCAGCTACCTGAGTAAGTTGGTCTGCCTTCAAGCCTGCTTTGCCATCAATTTCCTTCTTGTTCAACAACTCTCAGGTGCTTTAAAAGCCTTCTGTCTCTGCTCCCTTGTTATGGTTGGTGGGAGGTAGAGAAAACCCAGGCTTCAGGGACTTGCTTCATTCGTATACAGAAGATTGGCCTCAGAGCCCAGGGCCACAGATCAGAAGTCCTGGCTGTCAGACACCTACCCTATGGAGGAATTGAGCTGAGGTTGTAGAGATGAATGACACACAGTTCCTGCTTCACAGACCCTATTTTCCAGTAGGGCAGACAAAGGAGGAAGCAGAGGACCTGTATGAGTGATGGCGAACCTTTTAGAGCTTTTGAGGATAACAGACAACGTGCTGCAGCATGTGTGCCATAGGTTTGCCACCACTAGGCTCTGTGTCATTGGCATGAGCCACTTCAGACTTTGGGCACCAGTGCACCCATACTTTAAAATCTAGTTGCCCAAGATCTCCCATTTGAGTGCTCACTGATGCTGGTGGCACACTTGCTGCAGATGTGGTTGGCATCTCCCACATGCCAAATGTAGAGAAAGCTGCGTCCTGGTGGCCTAGCATTGCTAGGACTTGCTGTGTCTTCTTGCAGTCCGGTGCCCTGCCTACACGTTCTCCCCCTCTGACGCTAAGGCCCCTGCCAGACCACAGTGGGTCTCTGAGGCCCTCAAGCCTTCAGTACTCGAGGGTCTAACTCACAGGCCGAGCCATTATTATTGAAAGTACCCATACTGTCCAAGGGTCTCTGAACCCGGAGGAACTTGTGCATCGTGCATATGGTTTGCCATTTGCCTCAACCATCATTTCCCAGAAAGCCAGCCCTTTTCTCAGTGACCTGGTGGGGCTGGGTTACTCATCCGGACACCCTCTTTCCTCTTCTATTATTTTATGGGCCTGGGCTTTACACAAGGTAAGTCTAGCAACAGATTCCCTGACTTTGGGTCCTGGGAAGCGGAGGTTAGGTCATGCATCTCTTCCCTCCCCAAAGGCTCTGGGCTTGTCATATAAGTGGGCCTTAAGCCCTAACAACCAAAAGGTAAGGCAGATTTTCCTAAACCTCTTAAACGTACAATATACAAAAAACCAAAGAAAACTCAAAGTGCAGGTTTTGTTACATCTTGATCCCCTCAACCATGCGCTCCTAGCAGCATCTTTGCCCAAGGAAGTGGGTTCCTCAGGTGACCCTAAAAACGACAGAGTCCAACTCTACAAGGAAAAAGTCAGCAAAATTACTAAAGAACATTGAGGGATGAATTCTTTCCAAGACTGCTGTGTGAGGCTGGGGGACAGCATTGAGGAAGTGCTCAGAGGAGTGAGGTCTTAACAAGGATCCTTCCTCCCTACAACATTTTATGTTGAAAAACTTTAAGCATATAGAGAAACTGAAAAACTTTTTTGGTCATTATTCTAGCCATCACATAGCTTCTGTTTTTTACCATTGTGTGCTTGTTTCATTACAAATCTATTCATCCCTTTATCCATCCATCAACTAGCTCTACTGATTAATAACTTTATTGTTAATTTTATCATACCATAAAATTCATCCACTGTAAACATACAGTTGGATGCGTTTTTAGCGAGTTTATAAGGTGTGCAAGCCAGTTCCAGGACACTGCTCCTGTTGGCCCCACAGAATTCCTTGATGCTGTCTGTTCCCACCCCAGCATGAGGCAACCCCCGACCCACCTCCTGCTTCTATGGGTTTCCTGTTCAGGAAATTCCGTGTAAATGGATGTATTCTAGTCTCCTGTGTCTGGCTTCTTTCAGTTAGTGTAATGTTTTGGAGGTTCATTCTTATTGTTGCCTGTAAGGATAGTTTGCTTCTTTTTGTATTCCATTGTGTAGCTGTATCACAGTGTGTCGGTACATTCAGCAGTTGATGGACACTTAGATTGTTTCTAGCTTGGGGCTGTTATGAATCACGTGGCTGTGAATTTTCCTCTATGCTTCTCTGTGTGGACCAAGGGAGATCAAAATACGCCACCCCAAAATATACTTCATTAGCTTATCACCAGATGGTTGTTCGGATATAATATATGAGAATGGCTGAGAAAAGCTGTCCTTTTGTAAAAAGAAATTTACACTTAGGATAAAGCGGATTGGCCAGGGCTTTGCTATCTGATTTCTGCCTAGAAACTTGTTTCCCAAGAAGAAGCAGTTGAGGGATCTGACAACTGCCCTAGACAGAGATAAGCACAGGTAACTGTTACCTGGGAGACTACTGAATCATGACACAAACTTTGTTCACTGGGGTTCTCAAATACTTTCTCAAACTGTCACCACTTCCCTCCAGGAAACCCACTTCCTTTCTGTGTAGTGTGTGTGTTTCAACTGTCTAGACTTCCTTTGAGGTCTTCCATGTTTCTGCTTGTTAATAAATTTGTATGCTTTTTCACCTGTTTACTTGTCTACTGTCAGTTTATTTCAAGGACTAAGAGTGTTGAACCTTAAGAGGGAAAAGAGAAAATTTTTTAATTTCTCTAAGCAAGAGACTTCTTTGTGGGATCATGGAAACATCCTAAAATGAGATTGTGGTGATGATTGTACAATATACTAAATATAAATCTGTAAATATACTAAAATCTGTAAATATACTGTAAATCTGTAAAATCTGTAAATCTGTAAATATATCTGTAAATATACTAAAATCTTAAAAGGGGTGAATGTTCTGCTTTATAAATTATTTATTATATTTTAATAAAATGATAAAAATAAAGCCAAAAAAATTAAAATGATAAAAAGATTTCCCCTACAGGCCGTACTTTTACACTGAAAGTTCTGATGGGCTAAACAGGAACTGACCAGGTTGTTAAAGTCAGAGAGAAGACAGATGTGGTGGTGCATGCCTGTAATCCCAGCAATTCAGGAGGCTGAGGCAGAGAATTACAAGTTTGAGACTAGCCTGGGCAACTTACCAAGACTCAATCTCAGAATAAAAAGTGCTGGGGATGTAGCTTAACACTTGCCTAGCATGTGTGAGGCCCTGGGTTTAATCTCCAGTAGAAAAAAAACCAAACTAAACCAGCAGTAATTAATGCAAACCCTTAGCGTATGCAGTATGGCAGTAGTTCAGTATCCTGGAAGTGTAGGATAACCAAGTAGACTGGGACAAGACCACAAAACCAGGGCACAGTGCTGGGAGGGACAGGTGTTCACTTGTGTCTGGAAGGCTCTAAGAAACCTTGGAGTTTTATAGGAACCCATAAGATCAGAAATGCTTTGTAGAAAGATTGTTGGGTGCAGCATAGAAAGTGGGCAAGTTAGAAAACTATTCTAATTGTTAGGTGATTAATACAAGGTCCTAGGTTGTGTTGGAGAGTGAGTGGGCAATCAGATAGATTACTCTATATGTGTGTTATTGAGGAAGGGAGGACATAGGGGATCAAGGGGCAGCTGAGTGATTCAATCTTGCCCACAGCCCCGTGGTCACCTGTTCTCCAGAAAGGGGCAGCCCCAGCTCCTGTGCAGACCTGTGTGTGGCTCTCAAGGTTAGCGCGATGGGGGTCAGTGCTGTTTAAATGTTGATTACAGAGACGGTGGGAGCTGCTCAGATTTCTAATTAAGATTAAAGAATGTAGCGGCTTATAAATGGTTCTCAGGAATGTATAATTTGATTATCCTGTTTTCTTTGGGCATTTTAATTTCTGGGTTGGTAAATGTGGCCTCTGACTAGAGGTGGGGCTGCTTGCTCACCACATACAGAGTTTAGGGCCTTGCAAGGTATTTAGGGCGCTTAGAGGAGGCAGTAGGGTGAGAGGAAGTGTGAGAGCCGTGGGGAAATAGGCCAGGCCAGAGTGGTGCCTCTCCTCTTCTCCTCTTTCTCCCAGCTTATAGGGAAGAGTAATGAATGTCCAGCTGGAGATCAAAAATAAATACTATAAAATAAAATGTGCTCATCTGGCTCTCTGTCTGCCTTCATTTTATTACTATTCAAAGAGACAGAAGGCCAGATCCTCCTTGTCCTATATCCAGCCCTCTTTTCTCTCTTTCTTCTGTGGAGCCCAGCCTGTAGTATTCAGATTGATTTAGGGACCTTTGTTGGACCTGCGTAGGATGCCCTATTGTCAATCGTAGTCACCAGGACAACTTAGGGCCCATTCAGTGGCTTCCCCAATTTGGACCTGAGTACTACCAATGAGGGCCAGGTCAACTTCATGCTTCATTAGCCCTGAAGTAACCTAGGCTCCAGGGCAGTTACTTTCCCTCCTGCTGCTGCCCCAGGCCACCGTATAACATTGTGGCCCTCTAGGCACGGTTGCTTACATGGCGCACTTTCTCCATTAAAAAAAAAAAAAACAAAAAAAGCCCTATGGTTGCATTGGTATACAGATGAGTAAATTAATATTATATATTAAACATTGTATTTTCTCTGAAAGATTATTTTCTTCTGATTTTAAAAGAAATCAAAACATTTCCAGGTGTGCAGGCCCTGAGCTTCTTGTGGATAAGGTAATCCTGTGATATACACCAAAGCCCCTGACCGGCAGCACACCTGCCTACCCATTGACCCAGTGACAAGTGGTGACTTTGGTGCCTGGCAAACTGCTCCTTTCTGTGGAAGTCCTTAGAGGCAGCCATGAGAGTGCTGACCTCCGGCCAGCCCTGAAGACCAGCTGGTGGCTCACCTGCAGGAGATGTGTCTCCATAGCTTCTCCGAGTGTCTTCCCTCCTTTTACTTCCACGTGATCGACCTCTGGGGGCGTCTCTGCTCAGTGTTCAGCCCCTGGTGAGAAGAAGCTGGTTCTCAAAGAGTGGCTGGAGGAATATTCTCCACCCCAATTGTGTGTATGTGTGCATGTGTACACAAAGGGGGTGTTTAAAGAAAATCCCAGAGATTCCCTAGATGACATGGAAATCTCAGACAGCGCATGTGTCAGGAAAGGACGTTAACTTAGCTCTTTCCCGCTCCTTCCTTTTCACAGACTTTAGGCTACCTACCTGCTTTTCCATCATACCACTGCTTGGAAATCAATGAACATTATTGGACCCTGTTATTATCGCGCCCCACCCGTCCTTCTCTTTCCTCTCTCTGTATTAGGAATTTCAGGGGTGAAAGGGGTAGATGAAGCCGTGTCCTGTTCTGTGGGGTTACCCCCTACCCAGCCCACTCTGGAGGCTGTCTTCTCATGCTTCGGAGGAGGATGTCTAGGTACTCAGCCTCACCTTTGGGAACACAGTGGTGAGCCACAGAGTGTGCAAGAATGATGTGTGTGTAAAGAAGCACCACTGTGGCCCCTCTGTGAAGGTGGACACTACTGCACAGGTCTGAAGGGAGCATTCCTGGGCTCCTGCCTGGCACTGCCGCTAAGCTGGGGTGTGTGGTAGGGCAGCCCCCCTAATGGCTGTCAGTTTCTGCTGCTTGTTCATATTCAGATATGCCTGAAACACAGTTTGCAAATTCTAAGGGCCTTGGACATCGTTTGTTACTGTTTTTCACTGGAGAGAGTTCCAAGTATTGCTGTAGCTATTCCAAGGCAGCCTAAGATGAGTCACTCCAGCAGTGGGGGAGGAGCTGAGCCTGGGATTTGGCTAGGCTCCGCAACTGGCCGTGTGATGCAGCAGCCTTCACTGGCGGGCCTGGGCTGCCGCAGAGCCATTATCCCCGATAAAGGTGGGAGAAGGGACTAGCTAAGATTCAGAGTTGGTTTCAGAACTTCCAGGACAGCCTCATTCTGAGAGTAAGGCAGAGCTCTCCAGAGTGATGATCTGGGACACTCAGAGCCCTCCCTGAGCTCAGCTCTGCGTCCCCAAGGTTCTTCAGTTGTGGAATGGGCCTTAGCGGAGAACTGGTTGGGCAACCGGGTCTCCGGTCAGTAGGGGAGGAGGTTCTGGGGCCAGCCAGGGACAAACACAAAGATTTAGAGAGACACACTCCCTAAATCATCCCCTCTGGCTCCAGGCGGATTCCTACTTTTCGAAAAGGTGGGGCGCCTCCTCAGTCAGACACCCCCTTGGCCTCACCCGGAGCGGGCTGTATACAGCTGCGGTTAGTTGTGTCTGGCGCCCGGTCCTACTTCTTCCCCTCTCTGTGTCTCAGCGTTCAAGGGGCCTAGAAAAGGGACGGAGAGGCAGGAGGGGTCTGGCTGCGGTCGCCGCCCCCGCAGGCTGGCAAAGAGACACTCGAGTTTCCCGCTTTGTTCGGGAAGTGTGTTGGGATGGGGCTAAGGATAATTAACACTTGGGGCGCGTTTTGTCTTCCAAGTGCTTTACAAACACGACCTAATTAGCCCGCGGGGAGGAGCGGAGCCACTGAAACATTCTCTTTATTATTCATTTTTACACCGCCTGGAGCGCGCAGCCTGAGCTTTGGCTAGGAGGACGAGCTGGTGGCTGCGCCCCCTTTCCAGGCTCCCAGCTCTCGCTGCGGAGGACCCCGCAGGCTTGGCAGGGAGAGCGAGTGCGATTCGCGTGGTTAGATCCACTCTCACGCATCTCACTTAATCTTCACCGAAATCTGCAGGCTCAGAGAGGTCCCGGTACAGAAGGGTACCACACACACTATACCCAGGCGTCGCAACTCAAACCTGGGCCCCTGCAAAGTTTCAGGTCTTTGTCCTTTCGCTGGGCATCTCGCCAGCCCTGCGCGGCGAGCCTCGGGCCACCAGCCCTGCGCGCCGTGTCCAGAGCCGGGACGAGAGTGGGCGGCGGCAGCGCGCGCTTCTGGGCCGGGCCCGCAGAAACTGTTGCTAGCGCAAAGCTCCCCGCTACACCTGAGCCGGGGGACAGATGTGCATCAATATTTATTCGGAACTCCCAGGAAACCTGGATGAAGTGTAATTATCTCAGCTCAATCAGCTCGGATTAGCATAACATCAAGTCACCCATCAGACGGAGGGTTTGATTTCGGGGATCAAAGCCCCGCGCTGCAGCCGCTGATTAATCCGGGAGAAGAGAGAGAAGAGAAGAAAGCGACGCCGGCTCCGCGAGCCACAGCTGCAGCGCTTTGATGCGCCGATAGTGCCAAGTTAACTACCCGGCCAGCTCGGCGCCCACCCCGCTGCTTCTCCGACCAGCTGCACCCGCCGGGTCTACGCGTTTTAGCGACTGTTCTCAGGCAGCAAGTCTTCAGCTCCAAAAGCAGCGTGACCCTGCCCTTCCGGGGCTCTTCTGGGAAGAGATGCTTGTCTGTGCACGAACTGCGCAGAGTACAGAGGACCTGGGGGCTCCCTGGCGAGCTAGGTCTCGGTTTCTCCCTGTGATCTCTCCTCCAGGCCTGTGAAGCTGACCCTCAGGCTGAGTGCAAGAGGGACCTGTACGCGTTCAGGGACGCTCTTCTGAGGCTGGTCCCAGCCAACCTGCCGGCATCATCTGCCCCCTCCCCTCCCACTATGCAGAATTTACTCTGGTTACTTAATTGGCCTTTTCTTGATTCTGTATCTTTGTGCAATATTTTCCCATCGGGGATACACTTCCATCCCTTTCTTTTGCTAACCATTGCCTGCATCTTTAACATGCAGCCCGCCCCCACCCTCCTTCCAGGGTATCTCTGCCGGCAACACCATGGATGGCACAGCTCTGTCGTGGTTTGAATAGGCCCCTCTTCCCGGGGGAATTGTGTACCGCAGAATGGGATGGTCCCAGCAGCCCCTGACGCTCTGGTTTGGGTGCGGTCTCTAGAAGATGAGAATGGTGGGGAGCAGGTTAAATACATGCTTAAAATTCTGGTAACTTCAGGACTCCCCCTCCTAGTTTTCCTGGCTGTATTTCTCTCTCATCAGCAGTGCTGAGGGCAGGAGCCCAGTCTCACTTATCTATGCATCCTCTGGGATATGGTCCTTAGCACAAGGCAGGTTTGGGTTCTAGTATGTACCCTCTGCTAACTCTGCTTGTCGAGTCCCCTGACCTCCCAGGAATCAGACTGCTGGCTGCCAGCATCACTATGGCTGTGGCCTTCTTGCATAAGCTGCCTCGTGGGAGGGCGCCCCAGAAGAAGACAGAGAATCCTGGAGGCTCAAGGCCGACGGGAAGCTCACAGTCCCCTTCCTCGCCCTCCTGTACCTTTGTCCTCTGCTTGCAGGATAAGGACAGTGGAATGGGGTCTGGAGGGTCTGCCCTGCACCTGGCGCCCTTGGGAGCAGGCTCAGAATGGTGAGGACAGGGGGACTGTGGGACCCACATGTCATCTTCAAGGCTCTCTCTGGCTGATGGGATGAAGGCAGCACAATCCCTCCAGAGCCTGCGCAGGCTTTTGTCTCACTCAGGAAGCCAGACAGTTGACCACTTCTGGTTGTGTAAATATTACAATAATGGTTCTTCATAATGCCCTCTGCCCAGAAATTTGATCTTGCCAAAACCAAAACAGAAACTTGAATTCCAAAGCTTCTTCTTTGCAGGTAGTTTCCTAATTTTACATCTTCATTTTAAAAAATTATTTAAAGAGTATTCACCTATATTAGTTTCATCATCTTTACTGTCAGGCCATGAAGATGTCACAAAAATAATCACAGATAGGTCTACAGAATATGACTGCTTACAAAGTCTCAGCCATTGTCCTCACTGGTCTTCCCAGAGATCTCTGAGAGATAGGGAGCAAAGATGATGATCCCCACTGAACAGGAGTGGGAATAGAAACTCTAAGAGTTAGTGATGTGCCCAAGGCCAAAGCCCAAGGTGGAGCCAGGACTGAACATGTGCCCCTGAAAGCTTTGGCCAAGAATCTCTCCATTGTGCTCTAAACCTCTATTTGGTTTGTTTTCAAGAAGGTTGAATGTGCAAAATGTGGAGAACCTTGTCCAAAAACTCAGGCCAAGTTATTGCCCATCTGGGTGTAGGACAGTGCCAATCCTGTCTCTGCATTGCCTAGGGTGTCTGGATGCCAGGATGCTCACCCCTGGAAGACCCTGGAGGGCAATGGGGACGACCAAGAACATCTTGAAGCTGAGATATATATGTGTCCATTGGCATTCTTTTTTGGACTGTAAGCTCCTTGAGGGCAGAGACCATCTATTTTATTTCTTTTTTTTTTTTTTTTT